AACAAAATCAACTCTACCCCAGCCAAAACCAATACAGAGGTGCAGAGTAGAAACTGTGGAGATGGCCCCCTTGTTGATCCCCACTGGATCCTGTCAGTGCCCCGCAGCAGGAAAAAAAGGCAAGGGGCAGCTGGCAGTGCCCACGCTGCACCAGTGCCTCACAGTGCAGGGAAAAAAGAGCAGAACTGGTCTGCAGGGAAAAAAGAGCAGAACAGGAAGAGCCAAACCTGCGCACAGCAGTCACTTGGAAATAATGACTTTAAGTGTCCTCTCACCCCAGCCAGAGGGCCGTGCTGCTGTCCTGCAGCACCAGCCAGGCACAGGGATGCTCTGTGGGGGGACTCACTGCTGCCAGATGATTTTCAGGTTCGGGGGCAGCTCTGCGGCCGCGAGTTCATCGATCTCGGTGCCGTCCTTGACGGGGCTGCGATAGAAGCCCAGCACGTCCCCGGCACGGCGCATGCGGTGCAGCTGCGAGTTGGGCACGGCGTGTCCCAGCTCTGCCGCCAGCCGGGCCAGCAGGCGATGCTTCAGCCTGGTCTCCTGCAGGGGAGCCTGCTGCCAGTCCTCGGGAACAGCGGGCCCGAAGACCTCCCTGACGTGGGACTCGAGGCAGCTCTGCAGGTCCTGGGGCGGCACGTAGCTCCGGCGGCGAGGCGGGGGGCGGATCAGGCTGGCCTCGCTCCTCTCCTACTCCTTCTCAGGAACTGCTCCGTCTGCTTCCACTTCTCTTCCCTCCTTCCTGCTGGCACCAGAACACACTTTCAGCCTCTGCACTACTCAAGACAGAGTCAGAGCGTTTTTGTATTCGTGGTGTTTTAAACCACTCACTCCAGACACTCCACACATCCCCTGGACTCGTCAGGTCTGTCAGCCACAAGTGCACAGGCGTTCCCCGGTGCTGCTCCGCACACGGGCTGCCTCTGCAGAGCCATCACCCACCCACCTTCTTTCACTGGTCTGAGTGAAAACAGCCTTTTAACAGGATCAGCTACTTCTTTTCTTTTTGGAGTTACAGCTCCATTTTCTAATTTGCTGTGAATAAAAAGCGTATCAGAAAATAACTACCACAGAAGAAAATCGGTGCCCATATGTAAAAAAAAAAAAAAAAAAAAAAAAATTAAAAATCATTATTAGTTTTTAAGTAAAAAACTTTGTCTTCTCATATGCCCCTAGTCAACAACCCATGCGTGGTTTCACGCAAAATGTCACAGAGGAACTGGTTTTCGATCCGCGAAATCCCACTCTTCCCACTCGTAACGAAAGCAGCTCTAAAGGCTCCAACCCTGCACCACCGCAGCCCGGCAGCAGCGCGCCTCGGCGGGCGCTGGCTGCCCAGAGAACCCGCGGAGTCTCCTTCCCTGAGGACATTCCAAAGCCGCCTGACAAACCCGGAGCGACTTGCTCAGGGGCTGTCTGTCGGGCTAGATGACCTCCACGGCCCGGTTAAGGCCCGGCATGCGGAGAAGGCCAGAAGCCGCTCCCACGCCGTGCCCTGCGGGTACCTGCGGCCCCAGAGCGCCCTGAGCCCCGCGGGGCCGAGCCCCGGGCTCCGCCGCGCCGCCGCCCGCAGCGCCCGCACCGCCGCCATGCTGGGGGCGCGCCGGGCGCCTTCCCGCGGCCACCGCGGGTGACGCATTTGCGCCGCGCCCGCAGAGCCTCATGGGAAATGTAGTCCGTCCCCTCAAGCCAGCCCCCTCTCTGGGAAACGGAACTTTCCTCAGGAAAGTGGAAATTTCCTTAGGAAAAGGCGTTCTTTGATGTTTGGTCTTTGTGTACTCTCAGGCCTAATCGACAAGCAGGGAGATTTAATCAAGCAGACAACAAGATGTACCTGATGGTCAGGTGTTGAAAATCTGCAGAACCACAGAATGCTGAATTGTAAGGGACCCATCAGGACCATTGAGTCCCACTCCTGGTCCCGCACAGCACCATTTCCAAAAGTCACACCATATGCCTGAGGGTATCATCCAAAAGCTTCTTGAGCTTTGTTGCTATTTCAGTGACTTCCTGAGTGTTACACTGCTTTTCCTCTGGAAAATCACTGGAAAATCTAGCATGGAAATGTATTTTCCAGATGGTATATGGAAAGGCAAAATGTGATGGTACAGTATCAGATTTAATGAAGAACCAAGTTCTGATATCCTGTAACACAATGTACATGTGAAAATTATGCCTGTCAGACCAAACGCCCACATTGAGGTGCACAGCTGCAAGCCAAATTTTCTCCCAAAAATTCCACATAACCAGCCATATTGCAATGACATGCAAACTTCTCTGTTGTGATGCCCGAAAGATAGGCTGGAAATAAAAGCACACAGACTGATGTCTATAGAGCAGGTATTTGTTTATGCAGTGCTGGAGGGGAGGGAGATTTCTCCTCCTAACTCACCCACCTGTGTCAAGTGCTGCGCTATATTTATACAGCTGCAGCGACGGCTGGCTTCAAAGGAGAAAGCCATTGCCCCTTCGGGATGTCCCTACCAGCTGCAGCCAGCACCACCAGCAGCACTGCTGCACTCTCCTGAACCTTGCTCCAGTCAGCAGGACACCTAAGGCTTTTGCCTTGTGGGATGAGAAGCAGTGTGGAAAACACAAAATACAAACCACAGCAGATGTCTGAACTCGACGAGCTTGCTGAAAGGACAATTTGTAGGTGTGGTTTCTGTCCAGGAACACTGGACACCAAAGCTGAAATTCTAACAGAAAATAGGCACAGCTGCACAGAGGCTTAGAAACAGAGCTATAAAATGTAACTCTTCATCAGCAATTAAAAATCTCTGTCATTCCTAGCTTCCTAGACACCAACATGGCATTCCTAGCTTGCCATAAAGAACAAAGTCATGGGAAGGGACACCGATGTTGCTGACTCTTAGCCTGTAGATACCTGGATAAACTGGCTGATGGGGTGGATTCTCCCAAAGCTGTCAGGACAGATAATCAGTGGAAATGAAGTTACTTCAGAATGGAGACATGCAGTGAAGAAGTACAGACCATGGAGTATCTAATTCTCTGTGCATTTTTGGCAGGTTTGTGTTTTACTGAAGATTATTCACAGCCACATGCTGGGCCCTGTCGTCTGCTGAATTGGGATATGATGTCTGTAAAGCTAGTGTGAAAATGAATCTCTGACTGCAGGAGAGAAACCGCCAATGCCTTTGTATCTCACAGAAGATTACCTGTTTATTTTGTGAAATATCTACCCTCTCTATACAAAAGTAAGCCAAGGTTAAATTCCAGCACTCAGAGCTTGATTTTGCCTCAGGTCCCTGTTAAAATACATCAATTTTGATTGGAGAAGGGTCTGAGAAACCTGGCCTAATAAGACCTGATTTGAGTGGGGTTGGATCAAAATGATAAAATCTATGCCAATGCATGAACATGGGAGTATCTTTCTTTGTCAAATATGGTAAGGAAAGATGGATCTGCCAATCAGGAAAACAAACAGTGGGACCCAGAAAGAAGAGACTATTAACAGAGTTTTTATAGAAAGGTTGTTTATTTTGTAGAAAGTTTGCTTGTAAATAAATTTACTTAAAAAAAACCCAGAAAAACAAAAACAAACCAACCAAAAAACTCCAAAACAAAAAAGAACCACCCCACCCCAAAACAACAACACCACCACCACAAAAAAACCAAAACCAAAACAAACAAACAAACCAAACCAAACCAAACCAAACCAAACCAAACCAAACCAAACCAAACCAAACCAAACCAAACCAAACCAAACCAAACCAAACCAAACCAAACCAAACCAAACCAAACCAAACCAAACCAAACCAAAAAAAAAAAAAGAAGAAGAAAAAGAAAAGAAAAAAAAAAAGAAGAAAAAAACCCTTCAAACAATTCAGCCTGTATCCAGACAAATTGCTGCTGAAATACCAAACCAGGTGATTCACAGCTCCTCACCACGGGAAGGAGGGCTTTTCTCTCTTCAAATACAGTGCCTTCTCAGTAAGACATTGATGCCTACTGGAGTTAGAAAATCCTCTTGGGCTTCTAATCTAGTAGAGACCTGTCAGTTTATACCCTGTGTTGGTCCAGCATCATGCTTATGTTGGACATGCTTCAGAAACAAATGTGTTTGTTTGTTAAACAAACTCTTTGTTTAAGTTAATAACTCCCCCCAGCTGTCTTGGACAATAAAGCCTTGGGTCGTCCTGATGGCCCATCAAGAAAGACTCCTCTTGTGCAAGCAGCAGCTGCTGCATTGAAGAAGTCTCCAAACTATTGGGAACAAACCAACACCCAAGCAAATCCCTACTGTTTGTTTCAAAAATAGTCACTAAGCTTGTTTTAAAGTGAAAGAAACCAAGCTCTTAAGGCCACATTTCAGGGAGATAATACCATGCTTTGAACTTCTGTAGTCTGAGATGGGGCAACTCAGCTCCACTCCCCTCAGGGAAAAGAGAGGGGAAAGGCTTTCGGGTGTTTGAATACTGCATTTTTAGCCTGAACTGCAGAACAAAATCCAACAGGAATTAAGAATTCACGGTAAGCCACCCATTCTCTGTTCTGAGAGTGATGTGCACTTCTCTGACTTCTAATTTCTAGTAAAACGTGCAGCACAGAAAAGGGCATGAAGACTCAATCTGCTTCTGTAAGATTGGAAGGCAGCCGCCCCATTGGCAGAGTGGGCACTGTGCAAGCACCTGAGTAACTCAGAACAGCTCCCTGCAGGCTCAGCTAAGCAGCACCTCTGCTGTGAAGGTGAGTTGTGTACTTTAGGAAATTGTCCCAGAAGGACATAAAGAATTTATTAACCTTCTTCTTGCACAAAGGAATTTGTTCTCAGCTGGTTTATCTGAAACTCTCACACTGCCAAGTCCAAGCCCTGGGCCCTCTGCACATTGTTTGGTCTCGCAGTCAAATTCTGTCACCTCTTATGCCATGAAAATTGTCTTCTGGTTTAGAAGGGATGCCTCAAATTCATGTTCTTAATTTCCAGCTATGAGGTTCAGTGAAATTATTGACTTCTCTTGGACTTTTGAAATGTCAAACTAAGTACTACTGGACAAACAGGAAATAACTTTGAGACAAATGGATAAATCATTTCCTCACAACAAAACATTTATTAACTGGATACAGCTTCTTGCTTGCTTGCTTGTTTGCTTGCTTGCTTTCCCCTCTTCCTTTTTCTATTGCCTGTCCCATTTCTTGCTGTGAGATTTTTCTTTGCAAGAATGAGTATGAATGGAAAGAACAGAGCACTGTCCTGGAATTGTACAGTACAAGGATATAAAAGAGAGAAGAGCAAGTACTGAAACATTCACAGCTGAAGCTACAGAAACCAGTTGTATCTGCAGGCACTTGGTGGAATAAATACACAGTGACACTCCAATCCTGACACCCAAACCCCACTGCAGGGAAGCCAGAGGAGAGATTTTCCCACCTGCCACTGTGACTACCCTGGCATTTCCAGGGCTTTCAGTGGCTGGAAACAAAATGTGGTTTTTCCTGTGCCATTTTCCTGGTGTCCTCTGCCAGGAGGCCTAAAGGCCTTGCCTTTGGAATAGCATGGAACTCACAAGCAGTTTTTACTCACTCTAATTTCCAAAGATGTTCTGAAGGTATCCAGCTGATTACTGGAGAGCAAAGCACTGCTGTGATGCTATTTCTCAGCTAACCTGCACTGTGCCTTTGTGCTGTGTAACTGATACCACCCTGCTGACAGATGAAGGGTTGCCATTTTCTTTGGTTTCATCTCTCAAGAGATTTAGGTATTTTTCACCTATAATCAGACTTGTTAAGAACTTAAGGCATAAATCACCTGGGAGAGAGCTGGGAGAAGAAAATTCAAAGCAGAGCCCATCCATTACCAAAAAGAAAAAACCAAACAACCCCCACTGATTAAACCCAACAGAAAATATTTTCTTGGTTCATTCCAAAGCAAGGAATATGGTTTTTTAAATAGTTCAACCAAATGCCACCTCAAAATGAATTTTATTCAAAGCTAACTAAAGCCAAAGTGGGCTTGTCATCAGATATACCAAATTTTTGCCTGTTTTTATTCAGTATGAGGTCTCTTGTCATCTGCAAGGTTTTCTATTTAACTGTGCCCACGGCCCTGCTGCAAAGCACCTATCCCAGATGCCTAACAACTAGGACACGTGGTCACTGTCAGAGGGGCCCCTTGATGTGCTGTGCTATTGTTGCTTGCTCTTGTGAACAGCTGTCTTTGTTTCCCACAGGTATTTTGCTTTCTGCCAGGAGCAGTGAATGAACCACTCCAGCTGAGCTGTGAATTACAGCTCCAGAATGAGCAAGGATCCTGCACAACAACAGCACCTGATCTAATCTTTCCTTTGCCTCTGTGCTGAAGGAAAGTCAAGGTAAATTCACGTTGAATGTCTAAGTTCACTCAATGGCTGACAAGACCTCTTTTGATGGATCCAGTACAATGAGTGATGATCCCAACCAGCACAGCAGTCATTGTGTACAATGTGTGTCGTATATCAATGAAAATGTGCATTTGTGACCCATCTGTGCAACACCAGTGGCTGTGATTCTTTTGTCCTATCCCTACTTTCAGAGGTGACTTTTAATGAAGCAGCAGAGGCTTTGTTTTTAAGAGCCTCTGGTCAAAGCAAAAGAAGTGGGAATG